CTTACTCCCGAGTCGACCCTTGTTCCTTAGTTGTTCCCTTCGTCTGGCAACTCTGCACATGTGCACATCGGGAACAGGCTCCAGCTGATCTTCTGCCTCACTGATGTCTGACTCTGAAGGCAGCTGATAACTGTCAAATGGCTCTGGCCCCCTCTCTGCCTCCGACACAGAGCTCTCATCAGAGTCTTCCCCAGACTCCAGGACTGGCCCATGTTCCTTCCCCAACCTCCTCACTGTCCGAATCTGCTGCCAGCTCTGCTGTCAGGCCACAACATGTCTGCCTGTAGTCAATAATATGCTACAAAGATGTTTTGGAAATTGCTGAGGCAGGATGGTGGGAACGATTTCATCCTCTGGGCACTGCAACCTTGGATAAACTTCACTGGGAACTGTTCAGGGGTAGTAGCTGCAGATGGTGTGAACTTTCCCCTTCCTTTAAGCTCCCAAGCAGTTACAGCTACAGCCAAAGCATGCAAATTATGTGGCCCACCTACCGGAATGGCAGCCTTCCGATAGGGCCCCCCGACAGCCCACTTCTGAATTCCAAAGTTGGATCTGAGCCCCCACCCAGCATCACCCGACTTCTGCTGGCCCGGCCTTACCATGACCAGGCCCCTGCACATATTGGCGTAGGCCACGGAGAAGCTGGGCTCGTCAATGGCTTTCTCGAACACCAGATCGATGACCCCTTTGAGCCTCTCTTCCGTGTCCACCGTCAGGTCGGTCACTTGCTTCATGAGCTGGTTGAACATCTGCGGGGTCAGCTTGTTCAAGATGCTGCGGACTTTGCGGAACAGCTCCTGGAGGGAAGGAGAGGAAGAGGTGTCCGCAAGAGTTCCTGAAGGCCAGCCAAGAAAGGATTCCCCGGGGATCCCCCGTTTCACTCCCTCTATCTCTGATGAGGGCTGAGCAGGGAAGGGAAGGAAAAGTGGTGGTGGCGGCGGTGGGGGCACAGCGACAACCGAGTGTGCAGCTCTGGGAGCCATTTCAGCACCGGGAGCCCCTCCCCTCCTCTTCCCTTGCAACAAGGCAGAAGAAAGCAAGCTGTCAGGCTTGGAAGCCATCTTTGTATAGGGCCTGAAGTCTGCCACATATTCAAACACAGTGTACTGTGGGAAGGGGGGTTTGTATGAAGTCTTGGAGAGATGTAGCCAAAATAACATTCCTTCTCAGAAAGTCAAGGCAGCCTTACCCCTGCACCTGGTACAGAGGAATCTTCCTTCGTGGCAATGATTGATTGGACCATGTGATGGACTTGTGGGTGTTGGGCAGTGATGGATTCCGGATCCCGTTGCAACTGGTACGCTGCACATGGGGCCGGCCCTCCTGGTCGGGCATGTGCGTTGCGCGCACATGTGCACGCCATCGCCCTGTGAGACCCAACTGCTTGGCAGTGGTTGCGTAGGTGCCACACACAGCGTGCACCTGCGCAATTGGCCTGTCACGTTAAAAATGGCCACAGAACGCGGGCGGGCAGGTGGGCCAAACGAGCCACCATACCAGTACGGTGGCTGCTGCTCCCGGCTACTACCGATATGCCCATACCAGGCCATACCACCCAAAAACCACCACTGGTGTTGGGGCAGGCTCTTGAACTTTCAACCGTGTGGAAACCTGGAACCTGGGTTTTCCCAGATGTGCCAACATGGCTCTCTTAATAAATTGAGGAATTTCTAGCCTCGGAGTGTTACTTATTTGAGGATGCTGTTTGGAACTCTGACACAAGCCAGCCGTTACAAAAACACCAGTCCAAAGAGACTGTGGTTAGCCTGGCATTGGTGTCCTCGTCTCTTAATGTGCGCCAACTGCAGGGCCACTTCTCATCGTCTCTCTGCACCCCCCACCTGGGTTTTGATGTTCTCAGGGTCCTCCACTTGTGTCTCTCTCTTCAGGCTCGGCTTCCAGGCGTTCTCAGCTTTCTTCAGATGGACGTCCTCTTTGACGCAAACTGTGATGATCTTCCTGGGCTCCCTCCTCTGGCCCGGCTGAGATCTCCGCGGCCCGACATTCAGCAGCTGTGACAAAAATGAGCAGTCCAGGCTTTTACCCAAAGTGAGGGAAACTGTTCTGACTTAGGCTTCCTGATAAAGCAAACCCTCTTTTACATAAACGGCTGTGAATTATGGTCATTCATACCCTGTAATGATTCACAAACAGTCTGTGAAGAGTCCAACAGATGTCTGCTCAAGTTGCCACAGGCTTTCAGGGGAATGCTGATAAGCATCTACCTTTATCTCCCTTGAAATGCTGCCGGAGACCTAATTGCCAATTACTTTTGCAAGGCTGAACGGAGCACAGTCAAACGGACCTTCTCAGAGTTTGAACCGACCAGAATGAACAAATTGCTTCCTGCAAAGGCTCATGTCCGTTTGCTTCTCCTTTATGTCTTATGGGAGGGACTAATCATCTCCAAGCCTCACTCCCAAGTCGCCCCTTTTGTCTTAACTCTTCTTGCCTTCTGGCAGTTCTGCACATGCGCACACTGGGACATGCTTCTTNCCCCCTCTCTGCCTCCGACACAGAGCCCTCATCAGGGCCTTCCCCAGACTCCAGGACTGGCCCATGTTCCTCCCCAGCCTCCACACTGTCTGAATCTGCTGCCACTGGCAGGCCACAGCACATTCTAGGATTGAGACCTCTGGCAATACTGAGGCCCTCCAGCTTCCCCGGCTGCCCCTACCTTGGCCTTCTCAAAGTCCAGGTCTTTGCCGATGGTGGTCAGCAGGCGACATAGGCACTCCAGGGATTCCTCGTCGTGGTTCTTCAGCAGCTTCACCACACAATCGTGCATGATGGCTTCTGTCAACATCTTCAGCTTGAAAAGCTCCCCGATGAACTTGATGTTGCCGATGGACCGCCTTCGGGCCTTGTCCTTGGCCTCCTCCAGTTCGTCGTGAAGCCGAGTCCTCTCCTCTGGCTGGGAGGGGGGGGAAAGGAGCAAAGAAAGAGGCCTGAGCAAAGGGGACACCGGCTAGTTAACAGCCTTTTGTTTCCAGCTGCCCTTTCCTAGACTGGCTGCCAGGAAGGCTTCTCTCTTTTCCAGGCAAGAGCCACCGAAGCCAGAACTACCCCTCCGCAGGCGGAAGGAACAGGAGGTCTCGGCGACACTCACGGTGGTGGCGGCCTCCAGCTCCTTCTGCTTCTTCTCGAAGACGTCATCGTCGGCCTTGTCCTTTTCAAATTCTTTTTGACATCGATTCAGCAACAACTTGCGGAAGTTGACTGTGCTGTCAGGCTTGTTGGCCATGGGCACTTTCAGCTGCAGAAGGGAAGAGAGCAGACAAGAGGTATGAACAATGGAAGCCCTCCTGCAGTCGCCGTTGGCACTTGCTATCTCTGCTCGACAGCGCCCAGGCAAGGACCTGCCTCAATGACTTTCCCAAGAAAGTAGAACTCTGGAAACGGTTTCTATTTCAAAAGGAGCTTTTACTGAGAGAGTGATTGCAGAGAAGTCAGGCGCCAGAGTCTGAAATTCAGGCACAAAGCTTCATTAGGCTTTCAACTCCCCCTCCACCCTGATACCCCGTGTTCTGTTCTGACCTAGGCTTCCAAACCGAGTCCTCGTCCCCATAAACCCCTTTTATTTAATTTACACTGAATTCCTCTCCAGCAACGTCCTGGCCCACAGTCTTTCAAGATCATTCACAATTACCAACCTTTCATCGGGTTTGGAGAATGGCCAGGCCGATATCTTTCAGACGCCCACAGTACTTGGCAAAAATGCAAGAATGAACTAATTGTCTCCTGCAAACTCCACTCCCCTTTTATTCCGTATGGGAGGGGCCATTCACTGTTCATCTGTCGCCTTACTCCCGAGTCGACCCTTGTTCCTTAGTTGTTCCCTTCGTCTGGCAACTCTGCGCATGCGCACCCTGGGAACAGGCTCCAGCTGTTCTTCTGCCTCACTGATGT